TCACCATGAATTATTTAAATTGAAGAAAACGTTGGTAGTCTTCATATCAGATTTCTTAGGATTAGATTTTAATCCATATTCTGAGCTATAGTCATGAAATAAAGTTACACACACATACATTGCATGTGGTCAAATAATCTTGATTGTTTCTTTTGAGTTTAGTTTTATTATAATTGGGTTGCAGAATGTTTATGGTTATCATAAATATAATTAAATTAAAATTATCGGATATCTTCATGGGTAAAATCTTGTTGGCTTTAATCTTAAAAAAAAAGGATTCTTAAAAATACCATTGTAAATAATAAACCCTCCATCCGACAAACGTGTGTACTGCATATGAAAATGAGCAAACTATTTAACTTGTGCACCACAATAAATTAGTGATGAAACCCTAGTATAGTGTGTGCACTTTGCACATGGAACTTGGACATACTTGTTTTATATTCCGAGTTTTTTTTTGTTGAGAGGAGAATGATGAAGTGACTCAGAGGAAAAAAATAAAGATTAAAAGTAAAGCATGAATAGTAACTTATTTTCTTTATAATATTTCCTCCATTTCCTTATTTTGTTTATCAATTTATGCATGAGCTTTAGTATTAAAATATTATCATTTTCAATTGATGGAAGAAAGAAACTCAGCTTCATATAGGATGATGATAATAAAAGTTGTATGGAGTGAATCGAATCCACTAAATTAAAGAGTTCATAACAATTAATATCGTGCTTTTCTTATCTGTTCAATCTCAACTGGTAAGTAGAATAAGGAGTCTTCAATGTGTATAAACCATCAACACAATATTTTTAATTTATTTTCTTAAAAGCTTTATTTATTAATTTAGTTTTAATAATGAGGTTTTTAATTTTTTATCACAATTTTTTTGATAAAAACATTTTTTATATTTTTTCATTAGACATTATTTTTATTAAACTTCTAATATGGAGTTCATTTTTGACAAAGTTTTTATTCCTTAATAATTCATCAAAATATTTTTAATATATTTTTTAGTAATGAGCTTAAATTATATGTATAATTCGCCAACAAACTATTTTTCTCGTTGTCTTATCAATTTCAGTATTTTAATAAGTATTTAATCATGGTACAAACTTTTTAGTGAGGAGGAGGCAAGAGAATCTATATTGTACAGCTATAAACATAACATTTGATGTATTCCTATATGAGAGGAGGCTATAGGAGGATATAGGGTTAGGAAAAAAATTAAAAATTAAAATTTATGTTTTTACTGAATTTTATTTACTTTAAAAATTTGTTTGGTGGTTTTTTTTCTTTTTGAGAGATGGAAGTAGTATTAACAAAATAAATTTTCATGTTGTATTGAAACGTGAGAGTTTTGCCCCATAAATCTGAAGCATAATTTTAGTAAAGAAAAATTATGCATAATATTACTAAATAAAAATAATATTCAATCAAATATGCAATACTACTAAAGAAATATAATAAAGGTAATAAAACATGCCTATTGAAGGAGACGCTAACAAAATAGATTCTGAAATAAAATTATGCATATACAAGCTAGTATATACAAATATCACCATTGAAACAAATACACGGTATTACTAAAAAAAACAATGAAGGCAACGGGACATACATATTGAAGGAGATGAATTTGCTATGAAAATCTATGTAATTTCTTATTTTTTATATATAGACATGAGATTTTAAACAGGAGGGAGTAACACTTTCAAATAGGGAAAACAATTGAAAACCCCCGATTTATGCTAAAATTTAATCCATTCACGTGGGTATTATTTTATATCCAAGGAATCAAATCTTAATATAAGTTTTAATTATATACTTAAATCAAATATGACGAGCTTATAACGTATACAAGTACAAAGATAACCTAGTTAATAGTATTAATCTTAATATATTTTAATTAAGATAACCTAGCCAATAATATAAATCTTAATATAATATAATTTTTAATTATATAGTTACATCAAATATGATGAGCTTATAAGTTTATAACGTATACAAGTACCAAGATAACCTATCCAATAGTATAATTTGATGATGAGCACACACACACACACACACAAATATCAAGAGATATAACCTAGACAACAATATTGGAACCATTTTATTCACATAAATATTATCAAAAGTACATATTATTATTAGAGTAGGATAGGATATTGAAGTTTATACCAATTAATTAGAAAAATTAAGATAGGATAATATTGTAATATCTAAATGGGCTAAGGATATTGTTGTCTATGAAAAGTTTTTCCCAGCTCCCACTTTTAAAGATCCCATTTTTAAAGGGAGTATGATATATAGTCTTTGTAGCATCTGGTTTAATTCTTTTTTGTGTGCCCTGCAATTAAAACTCTCTAAATATAAACATATATTGTTTGTAACCATTTTCACTGACTTATTTTTTGTATATAGGCTATGAGACCGGAGATGGAGGCGCTCAAGGACCAAATGCAAAATGTAAGTTGTCTGCATTCTTTTACATATAAACTTCTGTAAGAGAGATCTCAGAGCTGCCACATAGTTTGGAACTATGGGTTTTCAGTCTTCTCTTGGAAAACACTGACATAGATCATGTTCTTTCATACTTTTTCTATATATAGTTCATTTCCATTAATCAATACTTTCACCTGCTGCAGTCTATGGATCCACAAACTATGATGGAGAATCAAAAAAAGATGAAGGCATTGTTCAAGAAGTATGCATGTCATGAGAAATATCCTTTTCTTCTTCAGATTTGTTGAGAATCTGTCAAGCAGTAGTTAGCAGTACTTGGTTTGGCATTGTCCTTCTTTGGTCTCAAGAATTTTTTAGATCACAACATGATTTAGAGTTGTTTAGATATTTTTGAAGTTGAAATAAATATCTAACTTCCCTTCAAGATGAATTCCAAATACTGGACTACTAATTCTGCAACAACCCATTATATCATCAAGAAACACACTATCCATTCTCACTTGGACAATATATGTATATACATATATATACATATATAAATACATATATATAGAGAGATATATATACATATATGTATATATATGCATATACATTTATATACATATATATGTATATACATTTATATACACACATGTATATACATGTATGTGTGTGTGTGTGTGTATATATGTATGTATATGTGTGTGTGTGTAAATTATACACACACATGTATACACACACACACACACATACATACATGTGTGTGTGTGTATATATATACACATATATGTATATATATATATATATATATACATTCTTATATTTAAGAGTACTACTGCATGTACATTGATACTAAATGGTGAAATTATGCATTCTTATGGTTGATTGTGACAGACAAATCAGTCGTTAGATATCATCAGTTAGATTTTAAAGGAATTATTGATTGTACCATGCTATCTGTATCTGTTACATCCAAGGTTTTAAATGTCGGCCGACATGTCCGACATGTCGGCCGACATATCGGTTTGAGGGCTTGACCGACACGACATGGACGTTTTCAACTCGTATGTCGGTTTTTAGGACCAAATCGAAAATATCAGGGTCATATCGGGCATATCGGCCTATTTTTTAGCTTTGAAAAATCGGCCGATATGGTACTTTTTTTTAAGATCTGTTTTTTGTTATCGGGTTTGGGTTTAGTGATAAATACCCAAACCCGTTTGACCCGTTCTCATGTTTAAGGGTTTCTTATGAACCCGATAAAAAGAATGTATGAACCCAAATCCATATATTATTTACTTTTTTATATGTTTAGTCTATAGAATTTATAAAGTATGCTTATATTGAATTTATGAATGCTTAGATTACATTTAGGATATGATATTATACATATGCGCACTACCCGATATGGCAATCCGATATTTAGTTAATGTCCCCTGATATATCCCCGATTTCCGCTATCCGACATGGATTTCAGCCATCCGACATGAACCCGATATCCGACATTTAAAACCTTAGTTACATCAGACATATCAATCTATGACTTATTTTACTATTTATTTTTTTAAAATTGTTCAGTTTCAGTTACCTACATGAGTATCTTGATATCTTCCAGATTAGATTGCTTGTGGGGATTCTTTAGGGCAAATGTTCTAACTGTTTTTGTTCTTCATCTTATTAACTGGTTGCTGAAGGCATGGGGTTACTCCATTTACTCCACTGAAAGGTCTTGTCATCCAGGGCCCAGTCTTCATCAGCTTTTTCTTGGCTGTAAGTTCACTATATCCATGATAGTCAGTTTTCCCTCTTAAGGTTATACAAGCGTTATGCCCATGCTCGCATGGGTGATTTGGCTTTTTTATTTTTATTTGTATGTATAATATATTTTCTCTATGAATTTCTTTTTTGGTTATGGTTTTGTTTCTAAAAAATTGAAACTACTTCCATTAAAAATTTTAAATTGTACTGAATTTGTTTTCTTAGACTGTTGTTCCTCCAAACTAAATAATTTGAGCCAGAACTTTTTTCTTCTTATTATGGAGATACAAACGTGGATAACTTTTATATCAAAATTTTAAATTCAAATTAGATGACTTAACCACCAATCTCTCCTTTAGAGTATCCCTCATTTTCATAATATTCTCAAAAAAAACCTCAATAAGTGTGTGGATGATTAAGATTACTAAATATTTAGTTATAATTAGAAATTTCTAATTATAGATAGATTTAATTTGGTTAGGATTCTAATTATGGATATAAAATACCCATCATATAAGAATTCTAATTTAATATTAAAATAACATATGATACACGTCATTGTTTGATGCTTGAGGAGTACCACCAATATCTCATTGTATATAAAGGAGGGATATATGCATGTATGCATGCAAGCATGTATGTCCTCTGGTGTTTAACTTAGGATTCATGGAGTCTGTGAAACAGCAATATACCATTCATATTCTTATAGAATATTGGATATGCTAAATGTTTCAGTTTCTTGTAGATCTCAAACATGGTTGAGAAAGTTCCATCATTCAAAGGTGGGGGAGCATTCTGGTTTACTGATTTGACCACCCCAGATCCCATGTATGCACTTCCTATATTGACTGGGTTGAGCTTCTTGGCAACAGTGGAGGTAAGCAATTTCTTTTATATTTTTTATTTTTACTGTTTGAATTAATTGATATATGACTTAAATATATGTTATGTGATTTTTATTTTTAATTAAGTGGGTTGTATCCTTGTTTTACTGGTTATATCTTCATCTTTGCATTGGAACGAAGTTATTGAGTGTCTTTGTCACAGTCGGCTTTAATATGTTGACATGGAGTTAATTTAACATTTTGGTGAAAAGTCAACAATAACTTTTGGCATGGAGTTAATTTATCAATAAATATGAGCATGTATCAGCAATTAGGGCACATGTAATAGAAAAAATTATGTCTCTGTTCCAGAAACCTAAAGTAGTGGCAGCGGATTGAATAATAGGGTCAAGTGTTCTGTATTAATTTTCTCCCAAGGAGAATAACATACCATATTGGTGCTTCTAACCTTGAGAAACTGAAAATTTTGCTTTCTGATGGAGTTACTCATGAACCTTTTGGCTTTGCTCATTGTCAGCATTAGACAAGAATGCATTTGTTACTAGGTGCAACATCTTCAGTTCTCATCTTTTTCAGCTCAGACTCATAGTTTCCTATAGTCTTGAACAGTCCTAGAAGGAAAGATGGGTTACGGGTATTTCGTTATTTCTTGTTTTACTATTACCAAATACTTCGTAATTCAATAAATAAATCATATGATTGATTTCTGTAAGAAAAACTTAATATATGAAGGTCTTTACTCTTTAGTGTTGTTACTATGTATATAATACTCTGTGAATCTTTTTTTATTTATTTTATATCTGATTTAGTTTCTGGTGTATGCTGAAAGAGACCTATTTGGTTGCATTTTTCAGTTGAATATGCAAGAGGGCATGGAAGGTAATCCTATGGCAGGCACTATGAAGAAGTTTTCTAGAGGACTTGCTGTTGTGACAATTCCTTTTACAGCGAGCTTCCCAAAGGTATAAAACAAGAACTTCTGGACATTAAAACTAAACATATTCTAGATTGCTCCTCTTATCCTCTTTAATTCCGTAAATATTTCTTCTGTGATTATTTCTTGTTCTAATCGTGTCGAACTCCTCAAATACATCATGCTGGAAATTTTCTTCTGTAGTTGCTGCGAAGAGGTTTGCCGCCTTTTATTCCGCTCTTCAAAATTATAGGATTTCAACATTATATAACCTCTTTGCCTTATATCAGTAGATTCAGTACTTTTTGTTTGTTCTCATATTGTATTTGATGTTATCAAACTTTTTTTTAGTTTCCTTTTTAAGGAACAATTCCAAGCACAAAAATTGGAATTATCATGACATTAGTATCCCTTAGTTTCATAGTCATGCTCATATCTATCCACCCATTGGTCTAATTTAGCAGTGCTTCCACAGCATCAAAGCTGTTAAAGAATCTTTGCAGTCTCTAAACTCATCAGCCATACACATCCGTGACTAAAGTTAGACTCCAGTGCTAAAATTACAGGTTCTGGTTTTCAGACCCAGCAATTACTTCAAGATTATTGCATCAAGCAAAGAACATTGTAAACTATAAGTCTATAACCTACTCTGTCAAGGCTTTTTGGCATATAATAAGTCATTAGTTTTCTGCATTTTCTCACATATTTTTGTCAAGGTTGGTTTGGTGTGAATCAACATGCTCCGGTTGTGAATAATATAGTTGAAAGATTCTTAGCAACCCAAATATCAGATTTGCGACTATTTTTTGAAATTGGACGAAAGTCTAGAATTCATTTAGCCTTTTGTTTTATTCATTTTGATATACACAGGATGGGAGGTATGTTGAAAAGGTATGGAGCTTGTGAGTTTGAACGAGGAAGAAAATAGTGGTTGGTCCGTACTTTTCAATCCAAACATGTTTTTTTGTGTCATAGCTTCTCTATTACTTGAACTGGCTGATGCTTATAGGTCAATATTGGGGTAATAGTTTTAATAGCAATATTAAAATATGGTTTAGTACTGAACGTCCTTAATATTGCCAGCTAAAATGGATGTCTTGTACTAAAGACATAAAATGAAACAAAGAATAATATCTTGCAGAGAAGAGAAATTACAGAAAAACAAATGGAAGAGGGAAAAGAAGGAAGAAAGAGAATAAAACAGAGAGCAGAAAGGAGAAATAACTAATAAGTTGCCATGAGATTTCGTGTATCTGATGCATGCTGGTCAAGCAGACACAAAATCAAACCCACATACACATGATACATATATAGACATGGCCACTCAGGTATTGTTTCTTGTATCCTAGTTTTGATAAATTACCAAATTCAACACCCATCTTATTGGATCGATGTTTTCTCTGTCGCCCAAATCGTAGTTGGATCAGTGAAGAAAGTTCACATCATCCTGATCAGGACTCATTCTTCATTTTCTTGTATACGCAATCTGATGGTGACTCATTCCGTGTATGTTTGCTAAAAATGAAAAACTCAAGCAGCTTGGCCTTAATAGGGCAAAGGTACATAGATTCCTCAAATATTTCACAAATAATATCAAAATGTCTACCATATCTTCTATCTAGACACATGTTTTTCATTTTACTGATTCACCTTGACACTTTGACGAGCCTGTTACTATGGTATACTGCTCACATTCTCTGCGCATTATAAGTCGATTTATTTGGGCTCTTCTTAATTTTTTCACTTTTTTTTTTGGCCAGGCAATCTTTTGTTATTGGATTACATCAAACCTTTTCTCCCTTGTTTATGGTTTCGGTGAGTTACATTCATAAAAACTAACAAATGATTTCATCCTTCATTTATCCAAAAGTAACTGATTATGATGATACTTTGAACTTTGAAACAGTGCTCAAGCACAAACCAGTGAGAAAATTCCTGAATCTTCCCGATATAAATCCACCGTCAGATCCTGCACCTGCCTTCTCTTTTGGCGGACTGAAGAACCCTAACACTTCAATCTCAGCCGGAGAATCTGAGCCTATCAAGGCGGAGCGAAGAATTTCTTCATCTGCTGTTATGAGTCAAAGGATCAGGAACCTCGAAAAGCAAGTCAAAGGTAGGAACAAATCAAAGAAAAGGTGAAAAATGTTGTGAACTAGCATTTTATATATTTACTTGAAAAGGATCAAGGAACAAACAATCTTTCAGTGATGATATTTATGCAAACGCTGAAAGGTGGACCGCAGAATACTGTAATCAGTTATACCTGGACTCATTTTTGTTCGATGAGTATCTCATTTTTTCTTGAATAAGTTCTGTTGACATGTAATGTACTATAGAACAAAATATATTTATTAAGGGCCCTATGAGATGAACGCTGAAGAGACAAGGTTCTTGGGATCCTTGGAAATTTCCACTTTATTCTGTTGTAATATGGTGTATAACTATTTGATTTTCCTTAATGGCAG